CCCCCCCCCCCCCCCCCCCAATAAATGACACACCGTACGCCGAGTAGATTCCTTCTGAATGCAGCATGTGCGCCAGGGTCTCTGTTAAGACTATACTCTCATGACGCTGAACCCTAAACCGTAAGCCTCTAAACCCTAAACTCCTGAAATTCTCTGAAACCCGGTACCCCAACCCCGATATGCCGGAATGCTGCGGCCACGTGCATACCCCACTATTGAAGACCATCCCTGAACCTCAAACCCTGAACCAAACTCTGAAGTACCGAAGCCTACCCCAAGCGCCACCCAAAGACCCACACCTTACAATGCCTCAAAGTTACCCTAAACCCTAAACCCTAAACCCTAAACCCTAAACCCTAAACCCTAAACCCGGAAGCCCTGAAACCCTTCATGATGTACCCTGGGCTTCATGACCCTAAACCATAAACCCTAAACCCTAAACCCTAAATCCTGAAACCCTTAACGATGTACCCTGATTTTCATGTAACCGGGCGGCCGGAGTCCGTCCAACACTCGGTCATGGCAGCAAGATCCGCACTTGGCATCCTTAAGCCGAGCTTTGGGGGTTTCAAAGGTTCGGTTTCGGGTTTAGGGCCTTTAGGGCTTTAGGGGTTTAGGGGTTTAGGGTATAGGGATTTCGGGTTTAGGGTTTAGGGGTTTGGGTTTAGGTTTTGGGGTTCAGGGTTTGTAGCGTTCAGGCGGCTTAAGTTTAGGGTTTAGCGGTTATAGGGTGCGGGGTTGCCCTAAGGCTCACACTGCCTGCTTTGGGGGTGTAACGGTTTAGGGCTTAGGGTTTGTAGTCTTGAACAGTAAATAGTTCGGGCTGCTTGGACTACTAGGGCCTCAGAGGCGTTGGGGTTGTTTAAAGACTATCAATGCACAGGATTTGCATTTCGGGGAGATCCTCCCGACCTCGCCCTTGTGCAGCCAGCATGCACTTGCAGCAGCCAGTCGAAGGATGCACATCCTGGCAGGTCAATCCCGATGGGTCCAGGTGCCCAAAATAGGTTCCTTTAAGGGGTTCCTCTAAGGGTACCATAAAGGTTTAGGGTTCTAGAGTACAAGGGTCGAGGACAAAAGCGAATTACCTTGCACTCCACGTAATGTAGGGGCCTTAATAATTAGAATAAGACCTTGGGGTATATTATACCATATTTATCATCAGGAACCCCCAAAATAGTGTAGGTAATCATTAGGGCCCCTATAATGGCACAGGGCGAGAAGGAGAAGAGGTGCAGGGGTTTGTGAAAGCAGCCCTGAGCTGATCGCCCCTTTTTGAGGAAGACAGATTCAAGTGCTTGAGACCGTGAGACTTTAGTGGGTTCGGCAGGGGTTGAGGGTTTAGGGTACAATTGGTTTGCAACGCTCCGTTGTCACTGGCTTGCGCTTGGCATTGTTCCTGAACGGCCGTTGTAGATTGCTGCAGACAGGTTCCCTTACCCATCCCTAAAGCCCTAAAGCCCTACCCTAAACTTTAAACCCCGAAAACCTAACTGTGCGCTGTGTTACGAGCCTAAACACGAACGAGAAAGCCCCGCCCCGAGTCCAGACATCCAACATAATGTAGTCCTCAGAACAAACCTTTGACCAAAAACCTACGTAGTCCCACCAAAAATATGTAGCTTTGTAACTTATAGCTGCTGGCATCCCGAAGAAGACAACAAACGTACACCCACCAAACGTCTACAGCACCGCCACAAACACTCCCCCAAGCCCTGACCTAAACCGTAAAGCCCTAAGCCTGTATAGACCCGGCCTTCAAATCGCGAAGGGTTAAGAACCCTAAGCAGCAACAGCATGGAACGCTCTGTCCCTCTTAAAGGCCCCCCCTATCATCCCCGAATCTAGATGAAAGCCCGGCTGCTAAGCCCTACCGGGACCTCAAGGAACCTATACGGGCACACATCGGTTCAAGTATTTGCCGGCCTGCGCCAGCAGCGATTCGGTGCTCCCGGTGGAAAGACACCCACCTTAGGTGGCTTCTCATTAAGGAATTTAAACATCAAACTACCACAAGATGGGGATCTATGGTGTATAATATGGTCTTCCTTACTATGAACTTAAACTCCTTAACTCAATGAAAGACATGGGTGACGTTTGTGTTCAGCTGCATGCACCGTAAACGAATGGTCTCAGATTAGTGGGATCCCTGGAGGTACGTCCTCAACTTGAGACCATTCGGGCCTAGAACAAGCTTAGGGTCTAAGGCTCAGGGTGCAGAAGCTGCCGCAGTGCCAGCATAGCTCCGAAGTCGGAGGATCCTCTTGGTCTCGCAAAGAAAGAATTGGCAGCTGCAGTCGCTGCCCTCCAGCAACGACTGGCATGCATCCATGAGTGCGTCCTTGGCCAAGGAGTGGTCCAGGCATCGCACACGCCGAATCTCCGCCTCGATGGCCTTCCGTCAAAGCCATCCAAAAGATCCACCGGGCCCTGTGCTCTCACATGAAGTCCACACCAACGGCCCTCCACCAAGTTGAGGCCAGCCACGACGACGACGCCCGGGCCGAGCAGGCATCCCGGAGCTTTGCGCCATTTGGGTACCTGCTTCCGGCAGGTCCGTAGGAAGTTCTCGAACCTACTGAACGCATTCTTGCCCAAGAGCTGACCTAGCTGCCCATACTGTAGAGCCAAAGTCTTTCTGGTGATCTTCTTCAAGTTGGGTTTGGCTTGGCCGCCCAAGGTTCTCAGCACAGACTTGATACGGCGTTTGCACAAGGCCCTCTTCTGGGCGGGCTTCAGGTTCGCGTTCCGCTCATCGAAGCTTCCGGTCAAGAGGCCGTCTGCGGGGCACGCATCAACCGCCTCGCCGATGCACTGTCTCAGCGCCTTCGCCTTCAAGCAGCCGCGCTTGTCCTTGCCTGGGCGGGAAAGATATGCGTTGTGTCGAAGGTGGCCGTGTCGGCTTAGTGATGCTTAATGAGAAAGTCTCGGCCAAGGACCTTGTAGTTAGAGCCCTAGACCCCTTAAGGAC